ACGTAGCAGTGCGTTCACCACTGAGCCTTCTTACGGGGGATTGTTACATGGCCAAACAGGAAAGTAATTACTTCAACAACAGCCGATAGCTTTCATGTACACGAAAGAAATGTTGATAACACGTTAACCACTTGTACTATACCCTTATACAAAATCTTTTGTATATTATCACCACTGAGTTAACTGCTTCTATAAACCTGGTGTTCATCTTGCTGTGCTAATGAGGTATAGCAACTTGAACCGATGCATATATGTGCCTGGTTCTACATAGTCAATTAACTTCAGATTGGAAGCAAAGGTGAATTCCAGACTTTATTTAATTGATATCCTGTCGAAAAGTCCAGATAGAACTTTATTTCAAGAAAACCAACTTCGAATGATCAATATACTAATTTTAAAAGCTAGGCTCCATTAAGCAGTAATAAAAATTTGATTCACACTTTATCCTCGATGGCTAGATGAATAATTTTTGAAGACATAACAGACAAGTAACTACTCCAGCGGTGATAGGTGTGCATCAAAAATGGCTATCAGCATAGGTTAAATAAAAGGAACATAGAAAAACACCAACCTACAGTTCAAAAGACGATTCTCTTCATTACCATTCAGTTCAGAGGGGATTCTGAAGCTGAAATCCTACAAGACTGGCTGAAGTCATCGAGAAAAACATTTCAAGCTAGTAGGCTTTGTGTTGCATTTTCGAGTCACCCTGTCATTCTTAGATATATCAAAGATAAACTCTCACATCAGACTACAGCAATGTGTATTTATACGTTCACTTGAGGTTGTAAAACAAGTTACGATGGCCTCACAGAATGAGAGATTTCTAAACACACCTTCAGATATTATCCTAAGTAACTTTCGAAATGAGAATGTAAAATAATCAGTAGCTCAGTATCGGAACATCTCATCAATTCTGGTCATACTGCCTCACCAGATATATCCTTCCCAATAATTTAAATGGTCAATGGTTAATTTCGGAGGGAGCACAAATTAGTAACTTGTACATTGAAGGAGCATTAGCAATTCTTCATCCTAAACCTGAATTTAGTGCAAACCTTTATTCTGCCATAGCCACAACATTTAGTTTTTCATACACTGTATATTACTACTAGCTACATTCTTATATTTTTAACTATGTTTTTGCAGTCACCTTCACGTTTTGAATTTATCCGTCACCTCCGTTATACTCCTCAAATGAAATCCTCAAGGTCGAAGGAGAAGAGGAAGGCCAAAGAACACATTACACCGAGAAATGGAGACAGACATGAGAAAAATGAACAAAAATTGGATAGAACTAGAAAGGAAGGCCCAGGACAGAGTGGGTTGGGGAATGCTGGTTGGCGGCCTATGCTTCATTGGGAGTAACAGGCGTAAGTAAGTAAGTTCTTCGTACTCGTCAAATGGACAATTTATCTTCAAAACATTGGGTTTCATTTTATAATATTTTTTTAGATTTCCGGTCGCTACGTAGCACTCTTTTGACACTTGGAATTTCCCATGACTCTATAACATAAAGTCCCGTCGATTTTCCAGAAGACTACTTTGCGGTTAATTCGCTAAAGATATGATCGTACGTTCAATGAATGACATCGAAGAGAAGAAAATTTTTCTCATAGAAATTTCTTCACTGACACAATGAGTAAACCACATACTGTTAGCTAGGTTTGGGGCATATTAGTTTTAAGTTAAGTTCTAGTAGCTGGCTCATTTAGACAGGTAGTAGAGTTTTAATGACAGATGAAGAGGGTGTTAAGCTAAACTTGCATTGAGAAAACAATCTAACTGAACAAGTCTAGAACGAAAATGCACACATATTCCAAATTCACTGTCACTTAGGCAGTAATTGGAAATACGTAAGGACTAAATCGGTTATCACGTTCAAAATCTCACGGTAGTAATCACTCGTAAAGTATCACTTTCGTAGCAGAATGTTTTATACTGGGACCATCATGACCCCACATTTACATACATCACATTTAAAAACAGACATCCCATGAGATTAACTCACTAGGAATTAGTTGGAATTGTTTAACCTTACATTTGGCTTGATAGCTGATTAAACTTCCCTGAATGCAACTAAGTATTAACCGATTAAAAAAGTATGCCATTAATGTCAACTTTGACAATAGATATATTTTTATACATTTTTCACACAGAAAACATCAAACGCTGTCCCAATAATCCTACATATTTTGAAAATAAATTAAGATTGGAATAACATTTAGATAAGAAAATGATAATTTGAGAAAGAAGATTTAAAAATTGTGACAATAAAAGATGATAAGAATATCTCTCATCAGAATGTAAAGCTGTGTAACTTTCCTAAATCCTTTGCTAGGTGGGGGGAATAAAATACACAAGGTCTGCAGTTATCGTTCGTCATATATACAGATACATTCATACACAAACATGTATATGGATTTCTACTTACAAAAAATAAATATATAAACGGGTGAGATTACGCAATGAATCACGGTTTGTACACCTTGTTTGAAATTCGAATCATGCTACTGAGTAAATAATGATTGATCACACATTATTTTCTTTACTCCCGGTTATCTAATCCCCATATATAATCTGCCTTTTCCCCTGTGATTTTTTTCATCGTTTTTTATTAAACAAGTATCCCTTTTGCTATCCCACAGCTCTAGTTTACTAAATTTCAGTCGATTGCCAATTTTTAGTTAAGCAAAAATATTTTTTCGCCCAACTTCTGTTTTTGATATTTCAGTGGGAATATTTATTGATTTTTGACTATGTTTATGTTCTATTTGTTACAGCTTTGTGTTAGAAGTCATTTTAATGTTTCATTTATAAGTCTTCTTATGGATTCTCAAGTAGAGTATTTCTGTACATCACTGATAAATTAGTTTCGTGATTTCAAAATGATTTCCTTGTGGTTTTCACAGTTTGTTATCAATTAGTACTTAGCTATGAGTGATCAAATGTTTCTATTTCAAATAAATGAATTTTATGAATTGCATTCAAAAGAGACTTTAATAAACTTATCACTACCCAGGTAACCCTTTTTTTTGTGTGTGTTTTGGTTATTTTATTCATTTATTTATTTTAAAATATTTATACTCCTCCCCTATTACATAATTTTTAAACCACATTATTTGGGTGGAGTTTTGTTCTCTGAGCTGAGCTCCACCAAAATCATCCACCTGAGCTACGAATCTTCTCCACCATCTCAAAACCACATTATTATTCACACATTTCCACCACCTGATCCTCTTAAATTATCTTAACTTTCCAAATTCTATTTAATTATTATTACGTAACCTATCTTATGATTATTCAATTCCATTATTACATCACCCAACCCGAATTAATTCCTTTTGACCTCTGACCTGTTTTGGCATATATATATAGTTATTATTGTAACCCAGTTATTTGCACTCATTTATGTCAATTGTTCTCACTTTATATCAATGTAAAAATTCTATCACATTTTTGGTTTGTAAGCAGCTGACGAGAAACCTCGAAATAATATGAATTCATACTATTCTGCACCAATATTGTTCTTGCTTTATTTAAATTCATAAAGGGAACCAATTGCATGAAATTCATGAATTGCATTTTCTTAATGAGTTACAATTTTTCCATGTTCTTCTTTCGAATCCTCTGATTATTACTTTATTTTCTGAGTGTGGAAAATAAAATCACTGTTGAATACAAACTTGACTATACATCATGATTAAAGTGTATATTTAAATAATTTTAAACTACTTATAAGTAGTTCGAAAATCAAATGGTACTTTTTCATTAAATTATTGTTGTAGCTAAAAGATGGAATTCAGGATAAATCTTTCTTCTTAGATGACTTGCTCAAAACAACCAGTAAATAATTATACATCGAGACTGATGATTAACTAGTAAGAAGTAAAATTATATAATAATAATAATATTCAAGCTTATTATAGACTTTTCGTTCACACACATTAGTGGTTTATTTACTGCGATTGTCTGATGATGGTCAACGTGTGGGTTCCCTTAATGATTATCAATCGAATTATGGTGGAGTCCCTATGGCAACTAAGAATCCCACAAGTAGAAACATTTGCGGTTGATGAATGAACATTAATAAGGAACCAAGTATGGCCCTTATCAACGTGTCTGCCAAAAAATGCATTAACTAATAGCAAAACTTATTCAACTAGAAGCATTACTCTGTATTTAGAAATCAATTCGTTTGATTATAAATACACGATGAAGATACATACTTGCTCACTGCCCCAAAAAATAGTTTGAGTAATTTTTATATCTATCCCATTTTTTGTGATAAATGAAAAATCCAGGACATTCAACTTCAGTTTAAAAACTGTGTCCAAGGGAAAAACTTTTGTGGGCATAATTTTGTCGGTCTTTCTCAGTACTTATTAGATAGTGAACTAGTATTTTGATCAAGGATAGTATTAGATGATTCGCGTTGCATTGGCAATAAAAATGAACAAAATGTATTCCTAAGCCTCATAGTATTACCGAAAAAAACGAATTAGGACTAGTTTAGTTTTGGAATTATTTAAAATAGGAAAATTGAGAAACGGAGACAAATGAATATTTTCAGCATGTGATGTGAAATTTACCTTGATGGAAGTAAATTCTATGCTTAAAGTTGCAAATTTCCCATTGATCATCTCCAGTGAAAATTCCTAAGCCTCATAGTATTACCGAAAAAAACGAATTAGGACTAGTTTAGTTTTGGAATTATTTAAAATAGGAAAATTGAGAAACGGAGACAAATGAATATTTTCAGCATGTGATGTGAAATTTACCTTGATGGAAGTAAATTCTATGCTTAAAGTTGCAAATTTCCCATTGATCATCTCCAGTGAAAATTCACTTAAAAATGTGAATAATCACAGCTAGGTGTATGGTAACAAAGAGTAATCTTTTTATAAATTAGGCCATATAAATCTAGAGAAAAATAGTTGATTTACTACACTTTTATTAATTGGTACAACACAGACAAATGAATGATCAAACTTTTAAGTTTATATATTTCCTCTTGTTTTGAAGCGATCACAAATTTCTTTTAGTTTAACAACTTCGGTGTGAATCTTTTCACGTTCCAAATTAAGCTAGTGAAGAAAATAAGTATAACTTAAGGATAACATAAAATCATTTTTATATCTGGAATACGTGGAAGAGAAAACAGAGAAACTGAAAGAAGTTAATATTTCCAGCAAACTCATATTTAATTGTGTACGGTGTTTGTTCTCATTGGGTCAGCTTGAGATTTCTAAATTTTACTGTAGTCATGCACAACTTTTAAACAATTCTAAAAGTTGTTAACGCATCACCTGACGATTGCTCTCAAAAAATAAGAAAAGGTGTGCTTTGGTCTTCTTAAGACGGTATTAGCTCCCAAAAAATATACATGGATTATAATATGCAGATTATTAATAAGACTATTTGAGTCAACGAAAAATGCAAGCTCTTAATAATTAGGAAATAAATATAAATATATCCATTATATTGCACCATTCCTCTTATGATGCATATTTTAAAAAAATTATAAATTGTATAATGCCTTCCAGTGACTCTCAATTGTTCATTCATCTTAATTAATAATAATTTCGTAAAGTGAACAACAATAATTAAGACATTATAAATGAAGTGGTTTAGATAGATCTCTTTCAGTTATTGGATTTTTTAATTCGAACAACTGCAAACATCAACACCTACACTGTAAATCTGTAATACATTTCTTAATAACAAAAAATAAGCAAACACTTAGTGCAAAAACTGCTTCGAGATGAATTTCTATTATAATAATAGGAATTTCTAGCATGTGATTTGTCTCCCTGAATTACAAACCGATTGAAAGTGTAAGTCACTGTTTCCATCACATGTGTCTGCAAACAGGACAAAACGCCAATCCTCAATGGTCATCACGATTCTCCCGCTCATCAAGAAAATAATCATGAGAAAAAACGAAAATCAACAAAAGTTTAAAGCATTATTCATATTAACACTGAAAAGCATTAAAAGAATCAGAAAATAATTTTGAAACTAAACACAAATGAACAATCATGAATATAGACTACATAAAACTCCCCGATACATTTGAAGATTAAATATAGTCAGGAAAAGTACATAAGCAGACGAATCGGTTTAACTTAAGAGATACATGCAGTGAAGGAGAGGGGTGAGAGTTATGGTTATTAAAAACTAGTCACGATTACGACAGAAATGACAGAATATATTCATGATAGCAGATCCACTAGCAAGCAAAAAACTAATCTCTGGTATCTGGCTGATTCAATATTGATTTATCTCACTATCTGCTTTAAAATCGGGTACATCGGTTGTTGTATGTGAGCTCGATCCATGTGATATTAATAACATTTGCTCAATCTGTCCACAAAGAACAGATGCATGTGTAAGAATTGCGAAAAGAGGACACCTAACAGATAGATAGGGAATTTTTGACTAAAACAAATCTTTGCAAAACGATTGCTGAACCATTTATCAAAAATGCATAGAAAAACAAGAGCTATATGCAAAAAAGGAACATACTCAACGCTCTACTTCTACTATGCATTCTGGGAGGCATCACCTTAACCTTTCTAATTCACTCTGTTACGATAGTAAGCTAAACCATTTCGTGTAGGTGAACTTCGTAAAGTTAGTACTAATAAAAAATAACCTCACCTGTTTTTCCAATTTGTTAATTTTCAATTCCAGACTGATTTTCACTACCAGAATAGATTCAGCTAGTGTTCTGAAGTCCAAAAGTTCTTGCGCATTCTGAAAAATACCAGTGAAATGTAAAGGTAGAGGAAAAATGAGTACATGTTCGCTCTTTAATTTTACAGAGTTCTCATGATTACTTTCCTTGTTAAAATGTCTAACCTAATCCAAGCCTCTTAATATAAATAAATCAAAATGGGAATGTAAATCAATCAGTAGCTCAATCCTTGAACATAAGCTTTTGTCTCCAGCCACCACGGGATTCATGGTTCAAGACTATCTACATTGTCAAAAGAACAGGATTAAAGCTTGAGTGAAGCTATAGGGATTTACCGATTCAAACCTAACCATTCTTACAAAAGTTATTTTCAATAAATATGATATCTCACTTGGTCAGTCTTATTAAGTTTAGTCAAGATTCCAGATACACCATACTGATACTAATTTACAATCTTTCACTTCAACGTTTTTGTTGTCCTAATCTCTCTGTGGGATAGTATCTGGAATCGTACATGTTACCTATCATCTAGTTATATGACAAAATTTTCCTTTTTTTTTCAATGCACAGAAGATAAACTTTAAAATGGGACGAATCTTTCATCTCTATGTTTAAACTGAATCCATATAATTATGAAATTCATCATAAACCATGTGTAATACCGAGGTTTTACTGTCCACACAATTAAGAAAGTAGGAAATTTAAACAATATTCTGGTTCACATTGTTCATTATTTTTAACATGTGAGGAGAAGGAGGTCCACAGGAAATAAACAGTGATGAGAGATCAACTGAACTGCTAATGATAGTCTATCATACATCATAAACCCAATGGTTGACTTGAGTACTAACTGTTAAGTTTGTGCAGTCGATTATATACGATCTAGATTTTACAAACTTCAGCTAAACAACGATCTGACTAAAGTTCTAAATCCAAATATTACAGTAAGCAATAGGCAAGAGTGTGTAGTATCGATGGCAGAATACTTTCAATCAGGTTGTGATGAAAGACCGTTAGGTAGCTAAACATTACTATATGTAATTGATAGTAACTAAGCTATAGAATTGCTTGCTTTCAACGTTTTTTACAAGAAAAATTTATATTCATCTGTTAAGGAAAATTGAATCCTAATGATTGAAATAGGGTGATTGCTATGTTTGAAGCGATTACGAGTTCACCTAGTCTGCGAACGGAACAAAGAATCTGTGACCAAAGACCACTAAACTAGCTATTCTGATGCGTCCCAGCCCCGCTAACTAGAGAGAGAAGTCCAAGTTCGAACGGGGAAATATATTCCACAAGCAGCCAGAAGCACGAGCGATAACAACAGGCACAAATCAAACACATATATACAGCACAAAACTGTCCTTGGGAAACGTTACAAAATAGCATACTAAAAGATACAACGAACCGATAGCGTTTAATATTCTCCCAAGTGGGAAATACGACATGAAGGTGAAAAAAGCGCTTTTGGCGCGAAAACACAACGATTCAAATTTTCAAAATAAAATTACAAAAATAAGGTATTTACCTAATGAGTTCTGGGGATCTAACATCCCCAACAATAAATACGACCATAATGTTTCACTGAAATATTATGAACATAGTAAATCAAAGGTATTTGTGAACTAGAGACTGAAGTCGCTTTGTTACCCTTAACCGAATGTTTTTCATTCTATATCACTCTTTAGACGCTATCATAAAAACAAAAGACTGGATGGCTGTTTTAAAAGTAAAAAATGAAATCACCTTCACAATGGATGTTTCACCATACTTTATTGGTTCATTTTCTAGTTTTGTTTGTAAATGAATTAAATCTTCGTGTAATAAGAGTAAGAGCTGTGACCTGCAATCGAAAGGAGACACTAGCAAATTTTGCTACAGTAAAGAAGATCAAGCAACAAATTGGAGATTCTTATACGAGGAAAGGATGAATATACTCTGTAATATCTAAAAATGAGAAACTATTAGGAACACTGTACAAATATGATTTTGAACATTATGCTTAGATAAATTTAATAGATCCAGTAGTAGTTTTATGTCCAGTTTGCTAGCCAAAAAGCTAATACAGACCAAAGCGTCAGTATTCAGTTTTGTTAAGAACCTTTTGGTAATTTCAGTATTAACACTCAACTTTTTGTCTACTTGGTTAGTTAAAACGATTCTACTACTTTATCGCCAATAAGACAAGAAGTATAATACTTTATAATAGTTTATCTTAGTTTGGACAACGTAGCCCTATTAACATATAGCTATTAACATACTTACTGACTAGTTGCTACAACCTAAGTTATAAATAAAGACTACAGTGTTCGCATAAACTTTGTGGAACTTCGGATAATATAAAGAGTTTACCCAGTAATATTATGGTTAGAATTTCATATAACAGATTATCCTTATTCGTCATTGGTGTGAATTAATTCAGAAATACTATTATTCTAAAAAATTAAAACAACTTGGACTAAATTCTGAGAAAATGATTTTCAAATGCAAAATTTTTAGAATTTAATAAATCATCGAAACTGAACAGGCACAACTGAATTAAGCTAATCAGATTATATTATATTTCTGAAAGAAAGCATCGCAACAGTTACTGTGGTCCGTACTACTTATATTGATATAAGTAGTATAGTATGCGAGTCAGGAATGTAATGCCCGGCAGCAGAACATGAGGAAAGATCAAGAAAGCAAGAGCGGAAATAGAATGCAATTTGTATGAAAATGTAAGAACAATTAAGTCTGAGACATTTTGAGACAATTGGAGGACATTTTGCAAATTAACGATTTGATATATGGTTCTCAGATTTTATTGAGATGCTCTGTAATTTTGTGTTAATTAAACTCGGTTATCCCCACCCGTGTTCTTGTTCACTACATTACGAGCGACACTACATTCTATGACTTGTAAGCCAACTACCATCTACAGTATTTTGGGTCTAAAGCAGAGAAAAAGTTGGGGAACTGCTGATTGTCAACCCGACTGTTTTGCCTATGTCAGTCAGTCAGTAACAACGTAGAACTTCGTGCGTACGTACATCAGTTCGAGTTGCCACACCACATTAGCACAGAGATGCAGTGGTCGATTCAAACCCCATAGTGGTAGAGGTAATAATAGTATAAGCAGTAATCGGAAAGATTAGGGTTTGAAGATGTTATTCAAGGAGTATAATTCAGTGAAATAAATTTGGAAAGATAAAAAAGAAAGGGACATGAAGAATTCAGAAGATTAGAATTTGGGAGAACACAAAGAGTGGATGCACCTGCGCCATTGCAAACGATTTTGAGCCATGTCATTCAGGGTCTCTAACCATCGGTTGCTATCATCTCGCGGTCCCCAACCAGGTAGTCTACACCTACCAACATGACTCAGTCTACTTGTCAGTGACTTCATGGACTTGTGCCATGTTTTGGTCTGGCCGCCCCTAGCTTTCTTCCAACCTACTCCTATACCACTGAACATCGCACGTCGAGGCAGTCGGTCGTTGGGCATACGTAACACGTGTCCCAGCCATCTCAACTGATGAAGTTTCACTACTTCATCAATTGATTTGCCATCCTTACCTAGTACCCGTTTCCTAACAACTGCATTACTTACTCGATGGTCCCATGATATACGAGCAATATTTCGAAGACACCTATGATCAAATACTAGTAACCTACGGATATCCTCTACTCTTACCGGCCATGTTTCACTGCCATAAAGTAGGACGGAACGAACTGCTGCGCAGTAAACACGTCCTTTGGTTGATAGACGGATATCTCGCCTACGCCATAAATGACGCAAGTTGGCAAAAGCTAGTCGAGCCTTCTGTATCCGTGCTGAGATTTCGTCACACACCAGACCACAAGGGCTGATGAGACTTCCAAGATAAGTGAAGCGGTCGACACACTCAACTACTTCACTCCCTATCACTAGTTCGGGTGTCGATGTAACCCAATCCTGAAGCAACATTTTGCATTTCGAGGGGAGAATCGCATCCCGAACATGCTTGCATTGTTGCTTAGAGTGGTCAGAAGACTCTGCATTTTGTCAGCGTCTTCACCAAATAAAACTATGTCATCAGCATATTCTAAGTCAACAAGTGAACCTTCCGGTAGAAGTTCAACCCCTGGAAATTTAGATGAGGAGAGTGTTATCTCTAAAAGTACGTCAACGACAAAGTTGAACAAGAATGGGGAGAGTGGACAGCCCTGACGAACACCACTTGAGGTAATCAATTCTGATGACAGTTCGCCATAAGCTCTCACTCGACCAGTTGTGTTCGAGTAGAGAGCCTTTATAAGGTTAATGTACTTCTTTGGTACTCCTTTCAGTGACAAACACTGCCATAGAACCTCACGATCAACAGAGTCGAATGCCGCCTTAAGGTCGAGAAATACTACCATTGTGGGGCGTCTGAATGTGTGTCTGTGTTCTAGAACCTGACGTAGTGTGAATATCTGATCTATACAACCACGTCCAGGTCGAAAACCAGCCTGGTTTTCTCTAGTCTGCTCTTCACGAGCTTTGTTAGGCGTCGAAGTATTATTGAAGCTAATATTTTAGACACTATATTAGTCAAACTGATTCCTCTGTGATTGTCACAAGAGGACTTTTGTCCTTTCTTATAGACTGGCACAATCAGTGATTGAGACCAGTCAGATGGGATTACGTCCAGTTCCCAAATTCTACCTAAGACCTCAGTTAATCTCATTGCTAATACTGGACCACCATCCTTAAAAATCTCAGGAGTAAACCTGTCAGGGCCTGCTGCTCTCCCTCGTTTCAGATTTCCTATGGCTTTTTCAACTTCGTAAAGGGACGGAGGACCTACATTAACTTGCCATTCAGGTTGACTAGAGATCGTGGGAAACCGAAGTGTGGCTGAAGGCCAGTTGAACTGATCCCTAAAGTGTTCTGCCCATCGATCCAATCTCCTGGATTGAGAATGAATAATATGTCCATCTTTCTCTGAGATTGTTTCGCTAACGGTCGGTTCCTAATTCCGGTTTCCTTAACGAGTCTGAACAATTGTCTGCTATTACCTATTGCCGCTGCCTTTTCCATCTCTCTTGCTTTCGCTACCCACCACTGTTCGCGATCATTGCGTAGACTTCTTGTCAGCTTGCGCTTAAGCTGACTCCGCTCTTCATTATGTTCAGAGCCAGGTGGAATGAGTTTCCGAGCATCTATCAGTGCGATAGATGCTGCTGAGATCCAGTGTTGCTCCCTAACCTTCTGGTTTACCTTACTAGCAGATATCACTGCTGTTTCCACAGCTTTTCGGATATCATTCCATGCTGCATCGGGGTGGGCATCACATACATGGCTGCCTAACTGTTTTCCTAGTTGTTCCTGAAATATACTCTTAGCTTGACTATCATTAAGTAGGCCCTAAGAGGTTTCCTTGCAGCGTCTTTCCTACGTCCAGTAAGACGCAAGCAAATACGCGCTCGCACTAGAGCATGATCTGAATCTAGGCATGTGCTCCAGAATGAGCGACAGTCTTCTATCGAGCCCCTCCATCGGTGGCTGATAGCGATGTGATCTATTTGGGTCCAACGTTGGGACGAATTAGGGGGTCGCCATGTTAAAAGATGTTTTTCCTTATGCTTAAAGTTAGTATTTGCAAGGAACAGGCGGTTATCTGAGCATAGCTGCAACAGACGGTCGCCATTATCTGTTCTTTGAGCCACGACACCATAAGATCCACCTAGGTGTCTTTCCCTATCGCTTAGTTTACCTACTTGAGCATTAAAGTCACCGGCCACTATTACTACATCCGAGCGCCTAGCTTTTCGGAGAAGGTCGAAAGCTTTCTGTAAAACTCATCTTTTACATCATCTGAGCTGCAGTCAGTGGGAGAATAGGCAGAGACGACGAAGAGGCAACGACGAGTGTCCCTATCTTTCCGGATTCTTACTGTTCCGTTCAGTCGGACAGCGCACAAACGACTGTCTACTGGGATCCACTCTAAGAGAGCTAGTTCTGCCCTAGGACTCAATGCTATACCTACGCCGGCGAGGCCACGGGAAGCAGAATCAGGGCTTCCAGATACACGAAGCGTAAATCGAGTCGGTTCTTTATTTTGGCATGGTGAGGTCAAATGAATGACGCTACTCGGATCCTGTATGCGCGTTTCGGAGACGCAGCACACATCGATGGCGCGAGATTCTAAAGTTTTAGCTAAGGAAGCCTGCTGTCCTATTTGGCAAAGTGTTCGTACGTTAAAAGCTCCTACGTGTAGTTTAGAGCGTGGTTTCAGGAGACCAGGAATGGCGTTCCACGTACTCGAATCGTTTGCCCTAGCGGTGCGAGGTGATAAAGAGACGTGAGGAGGGTTAGTCATGGAGATAAGAGAGGTATTAGGAGGTGTAGGAAGGATTTGAATGTGACCAACTTGGTCTCGTGTGCTGTTACGGGTATGAGGGCTGATGTCACTTCCCGGCTGCCCACACCGTGGAAGGGTATTTCTTGAGGAACCTGAAAAGGAAATTGGATTAGTGTTGGTCTTGACGACCTGGGAGCGTGACCGCAGAGCCCAAGGGACAACTGCTTGAGGCCGGTCGCGCACGGCCTTTTTGTGGAAGGTTTTTAACGTGTTAGCTCCGTTCTTCAAAGGGCCTTACCGCCGGAGACGGAAATCCGTGAGGTAAGGTGAGGTGTGACATTTTTAGGGTCGACCTTTTCTAACCCCACCCCTCCTTGTGGGAAGGCAGCATCGCTGTCATGCTGGTTGTCCGAGGGAAACACCTTACTGCTGTCACACCCCTCTACAGTCAGCAGTACGACTTCGCCCTCAGACCTTGAGTTGCTGCTTTTAGTCTTACCGTTCTCCAATCGACCTGCCTGGCATGGTAGAACCTACAGGAACATATGTTCCAGCCAATATAGCTCGGTTGGGTCATCACGATAGGCAAGCCCGACCACCGCGTCAAGGTAGCAGCTTCGGTCGGGTTTTGCCTATGTGGGAAATCTGATCAAGAAACACCTAAAGCTTTAGTAAGAATTCAAACTGTATTTTCTTTAAAAAATGTAACAACTTTACTTACAGCTTAAAGTTATTATTTTCCGATTCATTCACAGAACGATCAGACCCGTTCAAATCAGCATTCTGAAAATAGATACATAAATTAATGATGATCAAGTTTTTCGAAAGCCTGTTCATCAAATAAGCAACAAAAGTAGTCAATCATAAGGAATCATAGTTCACATATATTTGTTTCCAAAAGTTTAACGGTTTATCAACCGATGTCCATCGCTTCAGCAGTGTTCACGGATTCAACCTAATAATGAGAGCCTATGATAATTAAACCACCTCAGTCAAAAAGTCAATCTAAGTATTCGGAAAAATGAGAAACATTGGATATTCAGTGACTAAGAGAAATTACTCTATAAACCTAGATTTTTATGGAATTATGATGAATCAACTTTATTTTATGTCACGAATACGAATTGGCATCCATTTACTTAGTGTATTAGTAGTCATTCAGCATAGAACTTAGGGTTCTTATGTGAAATTTTTATTGTAAGATTAAGGAATGTTAATATATAACTCATCGCTCCGATACTTTAATTCGATTAGGGTCAATAGTTGATACTGATTCTTAGTTACTGGACACCGAAATCTTATTAGAACATTTATCTCACCAATAGGAACCGGATCTATGTTCAGTCAGTTTAGATAATTTCTGGGATTAATCAAAGTGTAAACATTGGAAACAGTAATCATTTCTTTATTTTCGTTATCAATACACATACTCAAAGCGAAAACATCTATACAACTTACATAAGAATTTGAATTTATTTCAAGATTATTCAAATTAGGCTGCCATTTGTCTATGATTCCTAGGAACTTCTCAATTATACAAGTGTAAAGTTTTTGCAATTGTCGATTTCGTTGATGTCTGCAGCATAAAACGAATAAAAGACCTAATGATTTGTTCCATTTAACTTGTAATTTATTAAATCTCCAGGAAAGCATAAAATCATTAAAACATTTAACCACAAAAATGAAAAATACTTATAGAATCACTGCAAACTTAGTGTAGTTTATGGGGAACGAAATAAATCCAGCGAAAATATTTCACCGACCATAAAACTTATTTTGTGATTATACTACCGTTTGTTATTGGTGAACTGAAATACAAAAAGTTTATTGATGTTGGTATTTGGACAAGTTATTGAATTTCATTGTGTTAAACCTGTGGTCACTAATCATGCTGTTTACCTCTTTACTTATTTCTGAGTGTTTATCAAAAAACCATACATATGATGTTAGCAACCTTGATTATTTTTAAGCTAATAAAAATACATATTTATTCAGAATGTCAAACGTAACTGTAAACCAATGGAAATCCTATGTAAACTTTGACAGAAAGTGAAATAGGGCATCTTATAAGAATCTTGTCATTTTCATACACCATGTTAATTTGCTATGATGGTGCTTGTGGCAAAAGATATGTCAAGCCATCTTTTTATAAGTTTGTGGGTTAGGTGTAAACGTTAGTGTTATATCCCGATAAGAATAATGAATGGTAATTTTTGGGATCCATTTATGGATCAGTGCTATGAGTATATTTTTATCCCGTAATTGTTATGTAACTAAACTGTCCATATTCATGTCCCTTCTTATTATGAGTTTTATTTTGACCTATGAACTATTGTTATACGATTTACCATTCTTAAGTTATGGCCTGTCTATTAATTACTATCTCCTTCATTTACAGCCACTTTTGGCTAAATATTGTACAAATGTTGTTCCATATTTTATGGTACGTTGTGGTCTGTCTGATTGATATATAAACCGAGTATGTTTGAAATAAATGATTCATATTGCAGAGGCTGAGATTTGTGTTCTGGACTTGACTGGCTGGGCTAGACAAGAAGCGAGACCAATCAGGACTCTAGGCTGCTCGCAAGTGTTTTACGCGTCACTGGTTCGATCGATAATTCGCTGCTTTCTGATTGGCGGTATCGCTGCGTTATCCAATATACAGGGCACACAGATCCACAAGTTAAACAGTTAGTACAATTGTTTTAATATGTGTAAGACTTTTTTAGTTATTCTATGGCTCCACTACTACGAAATATTACTCAAAATGATTTTTTTTCTAAAACATTTCTCAATTATGATCAGCCCGAAATCGGTCACGATCTTCAAATTACTAAAGCTGTAAATGTTGTTGTTGTTGTTGTAGATAGACGATAGTGATCACTGATACTTAAATAGAATATTTCTATATTCCCTGTAAAGACCAAATACATATATATATATATATATATATATATATATATATATATATATATATATATATATATATATATATATATATATATATATATATATTAGATGCAATAAAAATTCTGAACACCAAGAACAATGTGACATTTTTCTCAACATTCCATTATCCATTTAAACCTGGGAATATCTTAAAAAGCTAGTTTGCAATAAAAATCTTCCATCAATATTGAGAACTCCGATCTGCATGTAACTGGAAGGTAAGACTTATTAACACAAAATTACATCAAGTTTCACTTCATTTCATCACACCTTTGAGTGTGAATATTATTAACGGCAAAGTATAATGGAATTGAAGTTTGCTTAGAAATTTTAATACTCCTGAAAAAAATGATGATAAGGTATGAAGTCGTAAAAATATTATTAATGAGTCCTGCATAGGGAAGTTTAATAAGCAGTCAGGAAAGTAACTTTATAAATAAAAAAATCTCAGATTTTTTATTAGTGATATCACCATTAGCTTCTTTAATGTTACCAAGGTTAAATGTAAGTGTCTGATTAAAAATCAATGCAACATAAACTTGGGTTAAGAAAGAACAGTACGAGTTTTAAAATATGTTTACCTACATGTTAAGAATACACGTGATTCAGTAGCGTTTCAGGACTTTTTTTATTTCGTGCAGACAAAAATCAGTGAATCAGATGATAAATACTTACCTACTTTTAATTTCAGAGCTTAGAACACTTTTTATAGTTTCGTTAACTATAGGAGAGTCAAAATGTTTGACTAGTTTCTCCATTTCTTCCAAACGTCTTTTATGCTTCTCCAATGTAACCTTGTTGATAGTTAAGTAAATACTGATAATTACACCATAAAAAGAAAAGGATATATATATATATATATATATATATATATATATATATATATATATATCCAATAAGATCGATACACCATTGGTCTCCCCATTTAATAATTGTAAAAAATTATTTGCAATAGAAGTAAATGGTTGCTAAAGGATAGTAGTAATCAAAGTAACCATCATGAAATCAAAGCCTTGAATCTCTGAAAGATATAGTCATCCAATTGTTGTTGTTTAAAGCACAGAAGAATTCAGAAAGACAAAAAAGCTCGCGAAAATATGTTAGTTTAGAGAATTTCTATTCTGAAATGTTTTCAAAATATTTCTCCGTGGTTACATTCATCTGCAATATGACAATTTAAGCTTGCACATGATCATAGTATGCATATGAAACTGTAATAAATCTATTATCCTAGGGTAACTAAGTTTAATTTTATCTTTGTCAACATCATTATTTCTTTCCAGGAGAATCTATCAATCATAAGTCAGTCAGTCACAACGTAGAAACTGGAACGTATGTACGTCAGTTAACACAACTCATAAGTCAGAGAGATGAACTTATCAGACCTAATACCAGAATAGTAGGGGTAGCACAGTATGCCATTACCCCGAAGTGGTGGTCGGACTTGCCTATCGTAATGGACCGACTGAGCTATAGTGGCTGGGACAATCGTTCCTCAATGTCCCACCATGCCAGACAGGTCGGTTGAAGAACTGTAAGACTAAAAGCAGCAAACCCAAAGTCTGAGGGCGGATTCGTACTGCTGACTGTACAGAAGTGTGAAGGCAGTAAGGTGTCTCCTTCAAACCACCAGCAAAACAGCGATGCAGCCTTACAACAAGGAGAGGTGAGGTTAGAAATGGTTGACCCTAAAAATGCACACCTCCCTTTATCCAACCGATATCCGTCTCCGGAGGTAAGGTCTCAACAAGTACGGAGCTAACACAAAAACTACTCACGAAAAAGTCGTGTGTGACCGACCACAAGCATTTGTCCCTTGGGCACTGTGGTCACGCTCCCAGGTCACTAAGACCACCTTCGATCCAATTTCCATTTCTTGTACCTTAAGAAGAACTTTTCCATGGTGTGGGCAACCGGGAAGTGATAACCATCCTTATACCTCTAACAGCACTCAAGACCACTGTATTCATAATCAACCTCCCTCTTCGATTCCTATTATTCCTCCTACATCGACTTTCAACTCTAAGCTTCCTCCTCAAATGTCACCATAGCCAACGATTCCACTGCGCAAAACACTGTCCCAGGTCTATTGAAACTTCGTTTTAAACTACACATTGGAGCCTTCAACGTACGCACACTATGTCAAATCGGTCAGCAGGCCTCCTTGGCTAAAACCCTAGAATCTCGTACCATTGATGTATGATGTGTCTCAGAAACACGCACACAGGATCATAGTATGGTCACTCACTTGACCTCACCTCGCCAAAACGGAGAGCAGACGAGATACACCCTCCGTGCATCTGGCGACCCGATGGCTAGTTCTCGTGGACTGGCAGGTGTAGATATAGCACTAAGTACGAGGGCAGAACAAGCACTGTTAGAGTGGATTCCCGTTAACAGTCGCCTATATTCTGTTTGGCTAAAGGGCTCCGTAATAACTCGGAGAGATAGAGATATCTGTCGTTGCCTTTTCGTCGTTTCTGCCTACGCTCCCACTGACTGTAGCCCGGATGAAATGAAAGATGACTTTTACGGAAAGCTTTCTGAACTCCTTCATAAATCTAAACGCTCAGACATAGTACTCGTTGCAGGTGACTTTAATGCACAGGTAGGTAGCTTAAACCAAACAGAAAGACATTTAGGTTGATATTTTAGCATTCCGGCTCAGCGAACAGATAATAATGATTGTCTGCTGCGACTGCGCTCAAAAAATCATTTATTTTTAGCAAATAAATTTTAAGCATAAGGAGTGACATCGCCTGACATGGCAACCCCCTGCACCAAACCGACGATAGACTGAAATAGACCATATTGCCATCAGTCATCGTTGGAGAGGGTTGATACCTGCTTGGACTCCGACCATGCTCTCTTACGAGCAAACATTTGCTTCCGCCTCCCTGGACGCAGAAAAATCAGATTTAGAATGCCCATTAGAGTTGCACTCAGTGAATAAAAGCCAAAAGTATATTCCAGGAACGACTGAGGTCATGCTTAGGCAGTTCTAAAAACGAGACTGACCCAGATGTTGCTTGAAAAGATATACGAACAGATGTGGAAACAGCAAAACCAAACGGTCAAGAAAAAATCAGTGGATTTCTAATAAGTCTATTGCATTGGTTGATTCTCGTAAACTCATGCAATCAAGCTCTGAACACGATGAAGAGCGTAAACAAATCAGACCTAAGTTAACCAAAAGTCTAACGAATGATCGTGAGCAGTGGTGGGCAACGAAAAACAAAAAAGAGATGGAATAGGCAGTGGCTGTAGGTAACACAAGACAGTTTTTCAGACTAATAAAAGAAACTGGAATTAAGAAGACAAGTGTGAGACGATCTCGGAAAAAGGATACACTCCTATCTGCTCCCAGTCCAGATGTTTAGAACGATGGGCCGAACACTTTAGGCAGTTCAGATAACTTTCAGCCACTTACCATTCCCAAACAGCCTAAACTGCAAACACGAGAAAATCAGGTTGGCTTCAGACCTGGTTGTGGCTGCATCGACCACATACTCACCATTTGTCACGTCCTAGAACACAGGCATGCTTATCGGTGTCCGACAATGTTGGTCTTTCTTGGATTAAAAGAAGCATTTGACTCTGTTGACCGGGAGGTTCTGCGGCAGTGTCTGTCACTCAAAGATGTACATCAGAAGTACATAAACCTTGTGAAGGCTCTTTTCTCGAACACTACAAGTCGAGTCAGAGCTTATGGAGAACTATTACCTGATTTCGCAACCACAAGTGGTGTCCAAAAAGACTGCCACTATCTCCGTTTTTGTTCAATTTCATCACTGACTTACTGTTGGGAATGACGTTCTCGTCGTCCGAATTTTCAAAAATCGATCTCCTTCCAGAAGATCCATTTATCGACTTAGAATACGCGGATGACACAGTCCTATTTGATGAAAACACTGATAAAATGCGGTCTTTTGATAGCACAGAGCAACAATGCCAGGATTTTGGGGATGCGTTTCTCCCCTCTAAATACAAGTTGTTGCTTCAGGACTGGCTTGCGTCAACAACTTCATTTAACTTGTAAGTCTGATCAGCCCTAATAAGTAGGTGTCTGACGAAACAACTGCATGGATGCAGTGAGGTTAGACGCAGGGCATAAGGAAATGGTAGTAAACCAGTTGATAAGGTTGTCAATTTTCATCGACTGAGATGGTTGGGCCACGTCTCACGTATGCCTGAACACCGATTACCACGACACGCAGTGCTGACTAGTGTTGGAGGAGAGTTACTGGCAGTGAAACCAAAATGTGGCATCAATGCTTAAAGTCACTAACTTCTGTTCTGAGCCATGTTGTTAGATGCAGACTAATTGGTTGGGATCCGTGAGACTATTGTAACCAATGGTTGGAGACTCTGGGTGACATGGCTCAGGATCGATCACAATGAGGTAGGTGTATACACACTTTGTCTTCCCTTAAACCATGAGATTAAGATTACTTTATACATTTCTGTCTACGAACTAGTCCTTTCTCCATGTATCATATCCTTATATGTGATCTTTCTTTTATATATTACTACTATTGTAGTAACTGGTTCTATGAATTTGGTGTTCATCTTGTTGTGCTAATGAGGTTTGGCAACTTGGATCGATGCATATATATGCCTGGTCCTACGTTGTGATTGACTGATTGAAAAGATTAGGCATCGACAATACCCAAGAAAATATAATCTAGTGACAGCTTATCAATGAATTACTTCTCTAATAATTTGTTTTGCCCTAATCAGTCATAGCTCGTGACTAAACCACCACTTTACTAGGTTTGAGTTTAGCGAACTTGAAAAAAAAATTGTTTGGAAATTTTTTGAGAATAAATAGTTAAAGCAATTAGTCCCTTTAATAAATTTCGATACAATAATGAGAAGATAAGATCAACTCCGTCTTCTCATTGTTCTATCGAAATAAATAGTTATGTGCTCACATAAATTTTGTAAATTACTGAGTTCGTACTTAACTTGATATTACTCTCAAAGTTGACAAGCATGAAACGAAAATTGAACTTGTAAAATGCAACAGTTACTGAATTATTAACCCAGGGTTTATTTCAATATTTAGGGAAGTTTCATTCATTGAATTTACATAATAGATTTGTTTTTCTAAGAAAGTAAGTGATTAAACTAACTGAATGCTTGAATCGGTTTCCTAAGCTCTTCTAATAATCAGCAGACTAACTATACATGACAACTTGAACAGGAGAGAAAAGGTCGAAATATGGAAAAAGGTTTACTCTAAGGTTAGTTCATGTACAGAAAATTGAAGGTATTTATGGCATTTCAAATGGCCTTGTGCATCTAAAATCTGTTTGGACCCTAAAAAACATAGTAGCAGGATAGGTAATCACTCAATCAGAAATGTGACTCTTCACTTTCGAGATGTTTCCGCGAAACTTCCATTTAATGTTGATTAGATAAACTGCCTTCCAGGGTTTTAGGGGCCTGGTAGGCTTTTTTAGAGAAATATTCTGGGTCTTCCTAACAATAAGAAGGTGGGGGTGAACGTCAGCACCTCAGAATACATTTATCACGTAGAGGTTTTGGGAAACTCTGACTGCTGAGAACAGTGTACATGGGTTCTGGGATCTTAGAGGAACAGATGGAGCATAAATTCACTTTGGTCACCAGCTTCAGTGACTGTCAACTTTATCGATCCACCTTGTGGATTACACCCAGATGCAAAACGCTTGTCTGAATTTTAACTTGAGAAAACTACGTATCTTAGTTGGAGCGCTAGAGCAGAATGATGGCATGTAGACAAATAACGATTATTCATTTTGCATGAGTTTTTCCTACATTAAGTTTAACCTTTAAACCACATAGCGTCTTGCATTTGCTGAAAATTCTGTCCTATCTAAACGACTTCAAGTAGCTTTAGTGTCAATTTTTTAATGCTACTATTAAACATAGGACTTGATTGAAGTATTGCAGAAATCAATATGCAGCTTAAACTTTCTACGTTGATCATAATGGACACCAACCAGGTTTGCCATTGACGGAATTTTTTGTGGCCCGGGTATCTGACTCCAATTCGATTGTACGAATGATTGTTATTGAAATATACATATCGCCAATTCTCGAATATATTTACCGACTTAACTTGCGTAAGTGAATAACGGAGTTAAATAAGTCAAATACGAGAATGGATTTCGAGTACATATATTTCATACAATAGTTGATCCAGATAAACGATCGGTGAAACGAAGCGAACCGATGCGCAGTGGAGGCGTGTGAACCAACTCGATTTAATCAAGCGTCAATCGATATTTATAGTCAGACCAGAACTAAGTTACAGACATGTGAGGAATATGATAAGCAACACACACACGATCATATAAAGTCAGAGTTAATAAGCAAATAATTAAGGTCGAAATGTGACTCAAGAAGGGTGAATAAGTTGTCCTGTCTGGAAGAGAGTATAAGTTATGTGGGCTTGACATAACACCCGATACTACAAAAAGCTCTAAAGGAATTTTGTGGTGGCGGTTTTAATTTCTCACTGACTTCCTTGTTGAGGTTATAGAGATCATGCAACTCAACTGTTTGAAATATTACCAAACACGACTTGGGATACAATCTAGTAGGAAGTCTATCATTTCTATCACATTCTTCATCACAATAAGATGAACCTTCCTAGTTAGAAGGAACATACCATGCTGTAATTTTTAACTGAACTATAGATCATATGAAATAATATTTTTATTCAAATAATTACTGAGTATACGACTTTTCCCTCTTCGATTATTTTACAAGATTATCATTCCATTATTGCGCCTAGTTTCTTATTAGCGCTTTTGAATGCGTATACATATTTACATAATTTGGAAGCACAAAACATTTATTTGGTTTACATTGAAATTAATTCACCATACAGTTAGAATGACGAACATATATTTTAAACACGAAGGTCCGGAGTATAACAAATAAATACTAATAATCAAAGTATTATTTTGCAAATAAATACAACGAAATACATTTTCCGTCTGAACCAAGTTATTTCCTACTTTGCCAGAGTACGATAACTATACATGCGTAATAAAAGCAGCAAACTCAGAGGTTAAGTTTACAAGTTCATGGACTAGGCGATGAGCAACGTGTACTGTGATATTTACTAAAGATGTGACTGCCTAAACCTTGACAAATGAAGTAATGATACCGTAAATCGAGTGCTGAAGTTGGACGATTAAAATATTGGTTAACAGTATTGATGTAAATGCCATTCATTCGAACAACCACTAAAGTAAAATATACCTGATATTCAGAGCAAACACTCATATCTGAACCACTTTCTTCTGGACTTAGATGAATTTCTTGTGAATTCGTCCTACAAAATTCCATAAGGTGGAAATATTACGTAGAATATGGATCTTATAAAACAGTCATGTAAAAAAATAAATTATTCACATAAATAATTCAAGCAGCCTTATTATTATTTTATTCCTGTCTTACAATACTATTAAATACAGATTTGAGTTATTAGCTTCGTGATGTAACATCTGATCTCCAAATAGCTTCAAATTTCACTCCAACTACCGTATGTTGTACTCGGTTTTCATATGAATAAAAATCAATAATCGGCCGATCACAAAAGCTCTTTAACCACCTCTCGCAATCCGAATCATAAATGATCATATATGACAGGCAAGAGAATAGAAATCAAGAATTTACAGCTGTAAGCCTGATGTGGACAGAGAAACAAGAAGCCTTGACAAACTATGGAAGCTATTTTGCCGACGTTACTTCATTTAATTCAAAGCTTGTAAAACAGTAACATTTATTTTTGTCCCTAGTCTATTACACAGATTATAAGCTTTCGTTGGATTCACTGCCATAGCCTTTTCTGTTCCAAAGCTATTGTAATTTGAACTTAATCTTTTGTACTCTATTGTCTACTCTAATCCCCAGTATTGGACGTGATTGTCTTTTCCTAATTGTTTGTGCGTTGTGGTCTGGTTAGTCATTTATTTATTCATGAATCTTTTTACGCCAATCTGAATCGGGAATAATTGAGTAGTATTCCAATTGACTTGTCCACTCATTCCCAGCCAATCAGGTAATAGGATAGTTTTCGTCTCTCTACCCCAAGCAGTTAATCTCACTTCGAACTACGCATACTAAACTCAAGGTTAAGCCAGTTAGCCTATCGCGTCAAGGTCTTAATCTAGATTTAGACAAGTTATCCGCTGCATAGAAGTGGGTAGACACATCAAAGCCTATAACCACCAAAAATTAGTCACGACTTAGACTAGTAAAGAGGCTTCAGTAACTTTGCTAAGTTGCGATATCAAATGCGGCTGAAACCTAAAATAGATATGATTGTAAAACGTATTTATGTAATCAGAACTGTAGGTTGAATCTAACAAAAAGCTTATAACATAAGCGTAGATACTTTGATGGAATCAGCTCAAAATAATTATGGCCCAAATAAAATGTTCAGATAAATTGACAACGAGTTTTAATAAGATTTCTCCTCAGAAAACCATAGAAACCACATAAGAGCCAATTGCCGCTTTACAGACAGTATTTACCCTTGTCTACCAATCTGAACAAGTCATTCTGGTTAAAGTGATTCATAAGCGACATTTTTGTAAGGTTGTGTGTGTGTGCACGAATTAAGGAGATTAATTGATCCTTTTGATAACTTAGAAACACTTCACCACAAATACGTCTTATAATGGCTTTCATCCCTACTCAAGATAATTATGCCTACTAAGCAAGATAGAAACCCAGTGTCAACGGATTAGCAGTATTGAGACTAACAGTTTTGTTTGTTCGTATCAGAGTCTCGGTCATTGTTGCTTAATCGTCTTTTTGGTTGATCTTAGTCGCGTCAAGTACTGTGTCGGATGTTTACATGTTTTTTTAGTTAGTGCGAATCAGTGGGGAAAACATGAAATAGTATTAATGTTGTTAATCGTTATTATTAAATTCCAGTTACATATTCTTAACTGCTGAACAATTGTTACAATATGCAAACGATTAGAGTTTGCGGTTATCCTGTGCAATTGTCCGTTCGCTTTTTAGTTTCGGAAACCGATAGAAGGTTAAGTAAACTGTTTTCTGTTCCCAAATAGCGGTCGTAAGAGTACCAAATTTGACGACAGAGTAGCTAGTTATTTTACCATTAGGCCAATCAGCGGTTTACTAACCAATGATTAGACCAACGACAACAGTTGTGGGTACTAACAAAAGTTCCTACATCATTTCAGCACTGCGATGACAGTAATATGGAGGAAGTTCGATGGGTTTTTAGGTTTACTTTAAAATAGTTGGTCGTAAGTTGAGTATCTATTGCATTCTTTTGGACATTTGTTCGGCTTATATAAATTTCAGAATATACCAAAACATTCAAAAGAATCACCTTAAAATTCACATCTGAAGGAGCGAAATAGTTCAAACTAAAATTAATCCAGTGTTATTTGAGCAGATAAAACAACTTACAGTCTATTATCATCTTCAGTTTTACTTTGATTTGCATGTGCTTCAAGTGATTGGATTTTATCAAAGCAGATGTCTAATTTGCCAAACAATTTCTTCTCAACACTTGACATACTTTATGAAAATTTAAAACGTTAGAAATAAAAACAGATTCAAGTTTCTCTAGTGGAAGTCTGATAATTACACATTATGTTAAGGGAGTTCACTCCGAACTTCCCATTAAAAATAATAAATAAAATGCACTGAACCATACATAACCAAAGAACCAATGTTTTTTGTTTCTACATAATAGGATGATTTGTCAAATGTCTTTCGTGACAATATATGGGCCCTATAAGAAATTAGCGTACTGTGCTGATGAGTGTTATATATCTAGATGCCTATAATTCTTGACATGAAGCGTATAACTTGAGCACTTGAACACCAGAACCCTTCCAATTCACAACGAGAAGACAGAAGATTAGTGAAAGGTATGTTATTCCAGATAGTGTCAAATTAGAGTACAAACTGTCAGGTATTTATAGCTTTTAGTAAAAACGAAATCATCATTATATTTATCCAATCCACACACAGGGGGTTATTAGCATTGTCCAATCTTGAAGCTACATGTAGAGATTCTAGAATATTCTTCCGAAAATGATTGGATGGAATATCTTCGGCTGTTTTTGAGCTTCTTAAGGCTTCCTCGAGTTCACCCGTGGACCGTCCTCACAGAAAGCTAGTTGTAAACAGTGATTTATCCCTGCTGTCCTAATGATCACGAAAAAATCCTAGCTGACTCACAAGACGAATACTCTTTATTGAAATACTGGTTAATAAAAATAATACTTCAAGAAACAAAAAAACTCACATATCTGAAACTAAAAGGTAGTATGTAAAAAGAATTAAAAATCAAGTCAATAAACAAAAAATAAACAGTACGGATTGTCAAGATGTTTGTTTGGATTAGAGAAAATAATTTAATGACCTGAGATTTGACTCTGATTTGGATTAACGTAGTGAATATGCCACGAATACAAATCCTTCATCTAACTACGTATATTACACATAGGCTAACCCCGTTTGTGCAACGGCGGTAATAAGAAAATAAATACGGGCTGAGTTGGATGGATTTATTTCAAGCACTCGTCTATTCTGACAGATATTAAGAATTAGAAGCGAAGGCAACTGTGCTAACTCTTTGTAACCAGAGTAAATTAAGCTAAGGACATGTGATGAGTAGGGTAAGTGGTACACGCACGCTTATATAAAAGCGGCTAAGGTAAATAGGATAAAAATTGACAAGGTCAAAATGTGACTCAGGCATAATAAATAAGTTCATCTGTCCAGAAACTGGAACAACCCATGTGGGTTTGGCATTGTACTGGACACTACAGGTGGCCTCAACCAGTCAAATGATAGGATGGCGGATAAAAATGAGATTTGAATAACTTTTTCTGGCAAGCGAAAAAACTATCAAATAGAATAGAATGACTAAAACAACAAGTTTTACTATTTCTGAAGGCTTTTTCAATCATCTGCCCTGAGTGATAAAAAAGTAAGGTTTGCAGCGAAAGAACAAAGGTTAACGATTCAGGATAATCCCATAACTTCTTTACGACTGGAAAACAACTATATATGATAACATAACAGTCAACAACGCAACACCTCGCGTATTTTCTCAAGTAAGAAAACTTTGTTAAGCAATCATCTTGAATGACTTAATTGCAAAATTGTCACAGAATCCCCAAACATGATTATATCTACTAGACATTTTCTATCTTGAATAAAGAATTTTTTATAGATAAATATCAAAATGTTTATTGAGAAATTCATAAAAGTTAAACCCACCAGGCTTTAAGGTAATTATCAATATAAGTATAGACTACATTGGATGTTTTCTCACTTTTCGACAGATTAGGTAGATTACCAGACGACGATTCATCAGAGCATGTAAAGGCACCTGGGTTCAATATTTGATTCACATTCTGTGAATACGGGACTCCGGACGTAGTTAACTATTTCAGAATAAAAATACGTTTTTAATTTTGCACATTGAAAGCAAATTCATAATTCAAGTTTTATTTATTTGTTTGTTTAAGCCTATAGACAAAAACATTGGCCGCCCTTCGTCACTCGATTTGTGTGAGGGCTGTAGCACTGAAAACATTAAGTAAAATTTCCTACGGATATTGGTTGGACGTTATAAAGCACCTGGAGTACATATAAATTAGTTAAATACAACACAAATTATCAACAAATTCATTCGGTTACAGTTATAAACAGAATAAACTAATTCACCCTTCACAAAGAGATTGTAGCAGTTCACTTCGTGAACTTTGTGCTTAATTATCACTCATCCTTCAACTCAAAATCTGGTTAAAAAATTAATGTAATTTACTTATCTGTACAACTTTTTGTACAGTAGTTTGTTACATTTTACTTCAAACCTGGACAAAACGCTCTGCACTCCAGATGAGACATTTTCTCGCTTTCTAATGCTTATATTGGCCCAATACGTAAATCAGCAATTGATTTAGATTGAATAGTAGCCTAAATTGTATGCAGTTTTGAAACACTTAATGCAGATCAAACACTTTTTCTAGCTCATGTATACGATCGTCGAATTTCTGTCTCTATTCATTTTCACTTGGACCTATACATTTTAAAACTAGCAACAGAAGAAAAGTTTTACAACCTGCTGTTATTATCTAAGAAAATTATTAGTTATAGTTTGGTATAAATAATTATTTCCTCTTATTCAGTAACTAGAAAAAGTATACCAGATGGTAATAAATATCATTGTGATTAGATTCACTTAGTATTGTTTACTTGGATTTTCCCATTGATGTTTAGCACTGCAATTGATCAGTCTCCTATTGGCATTTGTGCGTCTTGTGCGGATTATCTCGATATTGCCTTAATTCACAATCATTATAAGCAAAGATGATTCGTGGCTGGTAGTGGGATCCAGGACGCGCGTTTCGCCCTATCTAGGACTCGTCAAACGGGTGTACCTGCATCCCAGAGTTGATGTTCATTCTGGGACTTGAACCCAGTACCGTTCGCTTCAAACGCCATAGCGTTATCCACTTAGCTACGGAGTCCTAATAGCTACTTTCTTGCTCAATGAGGGTGAAATATAAATTCAATTGGTACTGTTTACTTGAATCTTTTCATTGATACTTAGCACTGCGATTGAGTGGCGTTTGAAGCGAACAGTATTGGGTTCAAGTCCTGGAATGGACATCAACTCTGGGATTCAAGTACATCCAGCTGATGAGTCCCAAATAGGACGAAACGCGCGTCCTGAATTTTTTAAAATTACTAAATGTAATGTGTCTTGAACTCTCCACATTCATTTAATGAAGGACACTGAGTGGAAACAAAATTCCGGCAATTTAGTTACTTTATTTAGCCTAAGTCACTTTTGAAAAGTGGCAGCTTAGATCTACTAAGTATGAGGATTTAGTAAGATATTAAATGTAGGCCTAGTCGATTTTATTTTAAGATAGGAAAAAATGCTTAATTTTTGAGAATACCAAGTTTGGCATCTTTATAAATGTGTTAACAACTAGATTCCTCTCCTGATAAATCATACTAAATCTAATGTAGATCAATTGCAAAATACGGTTAATCACTGATGAGTTAATAAGCCAAATCAAATATTCTCTGAATAGGCATTCAAAATTAAATTCAATAGAAACGTATTCACATTAACAATTTGACTAACAAATTACTATTTACTCATAAAATTAACTTCGATCGTTGGAAATATCTTCATTAGTCAACTAAAAAATATTTATGATTTACAAAAAATTTACTCTGACTTACTGAAGTTTTCCGATGTCCTTGTCTTTTCACATATATTGGTTTTGTAGTTTGCATTGAATTGGAAGCAGCAAGTTTCATAAGTTCAACCTGATCAATTAATTTCCTTAAAGTAAGCTCAGTTTCTGTCTGCTTATTTGATTCAAGTGACAATTTTTCCTCAATTTTCTCAATTCTGTTAATTGTGTGTGAAACGACTTTTAATCAGTTAGTTGGACAAAAAAATTAAATACACTTAGAAAGGGAGTTCCTAATTCGAATATAATTTGCACTCTTAATTTAATATAAACCAATTGGACGTTCCTCAGTGCCCAAGATCTATTTTAGTACTTCATGTTTGAAATCAGCTGTTATCCAGTATCGACTTATTTGCACTGAGGTTATTTGACGAGCTGACTATTCATTACGGTATGTTGACGTTTGTTACTGCATCTTTGAGTATGGCTTCAAAAAAAGAAGTTTTTCAAACCCAACTAACAGATATAACGACTCACTCACATTCTAGATATTTTTACGAAAACCTGATGATAAGTCTCGAAGGTCATTTCAGTAAATTATACAGCAAATATGAAAATAGTCACAATACCGCATCGTTGATTGAAATAGAAATATGAAGACGATTAGATGTGATTGCTACATTCTTGTTTTTGATTCTCGGAAAAATAATTAAAGTTTTTTATTTCAGTGGTAAACTATGGAAGAATCATTTGTAATGGTTCTTTGGACGAAAATAACTCACAATGGGAACTACAGCTAGTATATTGATATGATTGAGCTTGCCTACCATTATCATTTAATCAAGTTATGTTGCCTGAAACATTTGAACTTTCACCCCAACAGTGAGTCAGTTGGATAGTGCCAAGAAAAAAGGCGGTGAATCTAAGGCCCGAGAATCACAAGCATTGCCACTATACCGCAACAAATGAGAGGAGTAAATAAAGTTGATCAAAACAATACCACACCTTAGGTTACCTGATGGATTTATAGGGCCAGTAGTCCGAGTTAGGACAACAAAATCATTCAACGAGCTCTATGACCATGCTCGCAGATCGGCAAGACTACCACTACCAATACGTTTTCTTACCAGATCCCTCGAGAAAATATCTTCCTTTCTGTGAACAGCCGGTACATGTACGCCAACCACATACCTCTAATTGTTGTTGATTTTAAAACAGGTTGGTAGGGTAAGTCATACTGAAAGATACTTGAACGCATTGTTTGACATCTAAGTCCAGTGGATAGATAACTGCGATTTTCTGTTATGGTTATAATTAGATAACCATTAGATCTTAGAATGAAACAACTTTAGGCAGATAAAAAGTCAAACCGACGATGTATGCAGATAGACTATACTGCAATTAAATTAACTCGGACTTCCAGAAGAAAACTTTCTGCATGAACATCTAGCTTCACTAAATGGGACTGAGGTAGTGACATCCGCTGACTTTTTCACATTATGAAAGCCTCATCAGTTTTAGTGCGTTGGCTTCTGAATGAATTTCGCCCTCCCTCTCGAAATGCTCTCACACGGCCACGCGTATACAGCCTCCGCCAGGGAAGTCCTACCTACTGCCTTCTCGTGACGAGAGTGTTGTTTACGAAATTGAGGACAAAAAGCGAATGTCCGTCGCTTTAACCGGATCCCAAGACAACGGTGCACATGGGCTCCAGTATCCTGAGGGAACAAATGGCGTATGAACCAATTTTTGGTCACCGGCTACCATGAAACCGCATCTCCTTACGATGCTCCACTGCCTTGTTTGTTAGACCTGTAGGTCGAAGTGTCAGGGGTGGCTCCCTAAGAAAACCACCTGCTTCGGTTTGGGCACCCGAGCAGTATCACAGCCCTCACGGAAATATGATGAACTGTGGATAATTATGGAAACCACTTTTCTTGTTTCGATTAACAATCAAAAGAATCACATCATTATTTACTACGTCATTTATTCACTCTCTTTTATTCCCACTCTGTTTATACTTATTTTTCGACTTATACAGCAGCTCGCCTATGGTGGAGATTCGGTTCTATCTAAACGTTCTCGAATCACTGGCTGGTTGAAAATTATATGTTACCACCAAATACGAATACTGAAGCAGTCTCTCTGTTGCCACGTGCACCATTCAAACTGGCTGCCTTCAACGTTCGCACATTTATGCAAGTCAGACAACAGATAAGGCTGGCTATGTCTTTGGAAAGTCTTAATATCGAAGTTTGTCTTCTATCCGAGACCGGTATTCAAGACTCTAGTGAAGCGCTACAAATTCGCTCTCCATCTGTCGCTTCAAAAAGCTCGTTTTATGTGCGTTTATCCGGGTACCCTGTGGCACCTTAGTCTGGTTTTGCTGGTGTTGATGTCGCACTTTTCAGTGGCCAACAAATTCATCGTTCTAAACAGATGGATGTCAGTAAATTGGTTGCAGCTTCTGTTGTAACTAAATATCAAACCGAGCTAGGTTGAAGGCTAGATACCATCCCACCGAAAAGTATAGATGAGCATTGGTTGCAATTGCATGACACCATGAAAGCCGCTTGCGGCTTCGCAAAACATCCTGCTTATAAGCACTGAGTTCCTTCTGATTCCTTACAACTCATTGAAGCTCGTCGGTCTACTCCGAGTGACCGTGAGCTTGACCACAAACGAAGGATGTTACGTAACGAAATCGGGCAAAGCTTGCGTAAGGACCGAAAAGCCTGGTGGTCGGAGCGTGCTAATGAGCTGGAATCAGCAGCTGCATCTGGTAACTGCTGGAAGCTCTTCCAACTCATCCGATCCACTGGTAGCAAGAAGTCTGGTGTGAGCGAAACAATCTGTGAGGATTATGGGATGCCAATCACTAACATCCAGCGACGTCTTGGATAATGGGCAGAATTTTTCGAAGGGCAGTTCAAATGGCCTGCTGCTCAGACAAAATCGGTCAGACTGTCATGCCGGTGACGACTGATCCACCAAATGAGGCGGAAGTTCGCAAGGAACTCGAACTCTTGAAGACATACAAACCACCGGGCCCAGATGACTTACCTCCAGCTCTTTTTAAAGATGGTGGTGACTTTCCGACTAAGGAACTGACTGTGTTGTTTAAAAAGATCTGGGAACTATAGTGTAAATGATTTCTTTTGTCCCTGATGATACCAGGTAACTTGGATCAACAGACTTCCTCAAGTTCTTGGAATAAAGTATGACTTCATATCATGAATTCTTGACAACAATTTGCAGCACAATACTGTGCAGTTTGAAATCAATCACTTTCAAATGTTTGCCACCTAAAACTGATTAACATCATATGAACTTTCACTCCACTAGTAATGTTCATATTCAGAAATGTATATAAAGAACTGATTCTCGTCAACTTTCTCGACCAAATATTGATTCACAAACTACAATAATTACTTTAGTAATTAATTATTGAATGTGTGAAATACTGGGGTGGTGAGGAAATCTTCCTTCTGATGGTTAATGAATAAAATCATACCCAAAAAAGTCAAGTTGTGAACTGCACCAACACAGTTTGACATTATTTCCTCATAAATAAAAAACTATTGACAAAAAGAATTGCACACAAGTGTTCCAACTACAATCGAAATAATAATAGCTTTATATAATGCAATAAATTCTGTTACAGTGAAGTATTATCATCGATTTACCATGTTTTCAAATTGTAACTATTGAGAAATGTATTCTAATAGTTTCTTATCAACACAGCCGTTCACATCTATCATATATAAAATGCGTGGATTCTAATGTATCCGTCTCTTGTTCTTTCAAAACTAATATTGATAGTTTGTCCCTTTGGGTTTCCGAAAATTAAGGATGCGAATAATTAAAGTGGCGGATGAGTACTTACAGTTAGTGCTTATAATTACTCAGCTCAAGGAAGTCTAAAACAATGAAGTGCAATATGAGCTATCGAAACATAGGTAACCAAAAAATGTCCTTCTATTCATTTCAAGCCTTTATTTAGTAAGCTACTGTATACCTTGTGCACAGATCCAACTATCACCATGCAAACTTATACATTATGAAATTCCAATCGACTTAATTTCTCAAATGAAAAGACTACAAATTAAACGTGAGGACGACCAAATTTGCGGATGAAACGGCAATGAAAATCTTACATGTTTCTGGAGTGTTTTTGAAAATAATTATTTTGTCGATTGCAGTGTTGTAAGGTAATATTTAAAAAAAGGATGAGCATATGGGGCTAAAAATCCTCGGATATAAATAATGCTTTCCTGGAAGATGAATGTTAATTTTCTCATGTTACAGTGCCAGTTTGGGATTAACCAGACTCCTTTTGAAAACAAACGTCACATTGCAGACTCTTATTACCATTAGTTTCTACAAATTTTCGATTATTCTGAATTAAAAGTCTAGCACGCAGTCGCACAATGAAGAATTTCTTTACTCTAAGACAAAGTTTCTTAGGAATACTACTATTACGAAGCGTACATAACCACCATTCAGTACTTTCAAAGTACATTGGTAGGTCAAGTCAGTGTCACAAGATATATATTATTTTCATAGACATCATAGAAGTAATTTTGAAGAAAATTGTTTGGTTAACAAATACTAAGAAGAATATTGGAAGTCGAAGTGCTGAATATTCTTGTTATATGCTTTACTAGAAAAGTAATGGAAAAAATTTACAGCTCGACTTTACCAGTTTAAATTGAGAATTATATGAAGATATTTTGACTTCAATACAGAGGCGATCATATTTGAACTATAAAACTAATAAACTGAAACCAAATACTGTAACCTCATTACGCCCGCCACGTCCACTCTAAGTTACGTCGTTTCGGATCAATTTCCAAGCAGTTCTAATAATAAATTTTGCTAACACGTAGCAAGTAAGCATTGCTTATCAAGTTGATTGTAAATTAAACTAATAGGTCGAACGTTGTGCAGGTACACCAATTTGATGAGTCCTAAATAGGATGAAACGCACATCTTAGATTTCACTGTTAACTAAAATCTAATTTTACATTAAAATCCTTATGACTTGACAATTTTGATGCAATCCACCCAGGATCCACGCGTATCAAAAGATACTGATCAATTTTAGCCCTTAACGGAGAAAACAAGAAGATTCAAACCGTTACAAGTGAAATACTATACAAGCAATTTTGAAGAAAACATGGAATATATTTAGTGATCCTGTTTGAATACCAAGGTT